GCCCCCAGGCTTCCCTTCTTAGAGGCAGATGTGTTAGCGCCTGCCGCAGGGTCCTTCCAGAGCCATTGCGTGCACGTGGAAGCGCAGGCAGCGTTCTTAGTTCACTCCGCTTTTTGTAAATAGCGATGTCTGCAGGGCTTCAGCGTCCGCCTCATGAGGTTCCAGGTGGAACTTGTGAACAGAGGAAGTGAGCCCAGGCGCCTCTGCTTTTTTGCCCCCCACCGCACCCCCAGCATGCCCCTTCTTTTTATTTTATTTTATATTTTATTTATTTTACTATTTGAGACAGGGTCTCACTCTGTCGCCCAGGGTTGCAGTGGAGTGGCGCAATCTCAGCTCACTTCAACCTCCATCTCCCAGACTCAAGCAATCTCCTACCTCAGCCTCCCAGGTAGCTGAGACTACAGGTACCCACCACCACGCCCCGCTAATTTTTGTATTTTTGGTAGAGACAGGGTCTCCCCATGTTTCCCAGGCTAGTTTTGAACTCCTGAGCTCATGCAATCCACCCACCTCTGCCTCCCAAAGCGCTGGTAGTGCCCAGCCCTACCCTCTACATTAAAGGCTCAGGGAGTTCACTTGGTACAGCCCATCATAAGCGCAGCCCCCGGACGCTGTTTTAGGAGACGGTGACTTGTGCTTAAGGCTGCAAACGCACGGAGCCCAGATGGTGCTGGGAGGCCCCATCTCCACTCTAGCATTGAGCCTGGTGTGGTCTCAGTGGGGACCCTAGGCCAGGGAGTGGCAGCAGGGGGAGCCTCAGCCTCACACCAGGGACCCCTGGCCATGTGCTTGTGGACAGTTGTCACATCTGAGGCAATGGTGGGCACAGCAGGCAGAAACACTGTTGTTGGATGCGTTCCCATGGTGCTGAGCACCTGCTCCCCGAGGGCTGCCACGCCCCTGCCCCCTCGAGAGGTGCCTGAGAGTTCTGGGTGTTCCATGGATGAATATTGACTTCAACAGGTGTATAACTGTTTTAATACGTGTAAGAAAAAAAGTAACTTTACCACACACCAGGGAGTCCATGGGATGCTGCTTAGGATGACTGAAAGTCAGAACTGAAATTTAGAAACACAGCCAAGCAGCACAGGGAGCTAAAAGGCCAGGCGACCCGCTACACAGGGAGCAGGGAATGGCCCCGGGAAAGTGAGTGTGGTCTGGGGAGGCTTAGCCTTTGGTTAATACGCACAACCTCCTGGGTAGGTGCCAAGCTGCGGCTGAGAGGCTCTGGACTCCGTGCTGTCATTGTCATTATAAGCACCTGGCAGAGCCTGGTAGACACCAGACAGCAGCGTGTGCCACCCTAGTCTCCCCTGAGGCCTCTGTCTCTGCAGGTCAGTGGCTGGAGGCAGGTTCAGTCTCTGGGGAGGTGAAATTGCATGGTCTGAAATCACCTCTGGAACTCTGCTTCTCAGTCTAGGACTCCATTCAACACTCAAAGCTGCAGGGCAGGCCGGGCACAGTGGGTGGCTCATGCCTGTGCTTTTGGGAGGCCGAGGCAGGCAAATCACTTGGGGTCAGGAGTTCGAGCCCAGTCTGGCCAACATGGAGAGACACTGTCTCTACTAAAAATACAAAAATTAGCTGGGCATGGTGGTGGGCGCCTGTAGTCCCAGCTACTCAGGAGGCTGAGGCGGGAGAATCGCTTGAACCCGGGAGGTGGAGGCTGCAGTGAGCCAAGATCACGCCGCTGCACTCCAGCCTGGGCGACAGAGCAAAAAAAAAAAAAAAAAAAGCTGCAGGGCCAAGACAGAGGTCTCTGTTTCCTTCCCTCAAGCGCTAACTACATAGTGGGAGAGACAAAGCCCCTGGGACTTCCAGGTGGATCCCAGGTGGTTTCCTCTGGAGGGAAGTGGGACGCGATCCCCTCACCCACTGTCCCTGCCTTCCCCTGCTGCGCGGGAGCCTCTTGGTCCCCCGGCTGCTGGCAGAAGGCACCTAGAAAGTCGCTAGGACAGCCTGGTGGGGATCGGCCTTACTGCAAGAACCGACCTCTACCAGCCCCCATGCACCTTGCCCTGTTCTGCCCATGTGAGCAGGGCGATCTGCAGTGCCACTGAGCAGGAGGGCACACTGGCACCGCCACTATAGGCCTCAGGTTTTCTGGGACTCTCCCAGTTTGCTTTGATTTGGTTCTTTTCAACAAAGGCAGTTCATTAATGTAAAGTGTTTTTATAAATAAGTCACCTTCCGTCAGCCCCTGTGCCCTGAGTTTTCGTTTGGAAGATGTGGCCACGATGGACACACATCAAATGTGCTCCCCTGTTTGGGCCACTGAGGCCTGCCTGATGTCTTTGAAGCTTTGGGCCGCCGCTTATCTAAACAGCTCATTAAAATGAGGTTGAGACACGGCAAACCCGGTCCGCACCTCTCGGAAGAAAGCTCATGTGTGCGTCATCACTGAGGGGGTCCTCTAACTGGCAGGGTGAGGGCCCGTTACCACCAGAGCATGGACACAGCAATCACCTGGCGCTCTCCTGCCCGGCTCCTGGCATTGTCTGTGGCATCCTGAGAACAATCAGGGTTAGCGATGAGTTGCTGCAAACCTGCTCCCAGAAGGGGCAGGCTGTGCGTCTTGTGGCGCTGCTGGCCTCTGATCAACAGAGACCGAGGGTCGCTGCTCCGGACACGGATCTCGGTCAGCCTCACCATCTGGGCACTGCAGTCTGTGCCTCGGACTGGAGGCAGGTGGTTCAGAAATGGCTTTTGTTACCTGCTGGACAATGGGGTGTGCCTGCGAGGGGACTTCTGGCCTCACAGACCCTGGCCCAAGTGCAGCAAGCCGCTCTTGTCGCTGGATGGGGACAGGAATGGAATGACTGGGTCACCTCAACTTGAGCAGCCCGAAGGAGGTGATGTGTTTGCCCTGAAACCCGGTCGGCGGGTGAGTGATGACCATGTGCACAGGTTAACAGCCTTCCTTCCATCAGAAATGGCACCAGTGACTAAAAGGAACTAGGCAGAAATCAGCACTAAGTCAAATATTTGAAGGAAGCTGACAAGGTCATCCTTTGAGGGCCACAGGCCGTGGGTGGAGAAGACTGAGCAGGGGCGGCATCATCAGCCTGCTGGACGCCAGGGGAGGTCACCTCTGTCCATACTCTTCAGCCATCTGCCAGGAATAGAGTCGAAAGCAGGCTGTACTCCTAATATCGCCATATTACCAAGGGGAAAGGTTGGCTTTTGGATGTTGAAAGAATATGGCAATTTGACACAAACACTCTAATTTGGTTGGTTTACAAAAGGGCTGTGTGATGGAAATGGAATATGAGGAGCTCAGGGGACACACTGCAGCCACGTTAAGCATGAATTATGGATAAGGGAACGGAGTAAGATGACAGCAGCTTCCAGCTCTGGCCAAATACCCGCTTAGGGAACGAATTATTGCTAGACTTTAACAAAACAATGCTGTTGTTTTCTGGGCCAAGGAACTGGAAAGTTCTTTTCATACT